CATGTTGCAAGGAGGGACCAATCCTTGGAGAAGGATGTCATGCTCAGGAGGGTGGAGGGGCAGTGCAGGATAGGAAGACTCTCTATGAGGTGGATTGATTCAGTGACTGGGGTAATCGGGGTGAGTGTGTCAAAGACATTAAGACTGGCACAGGACAGAGCAGGGTTTAGGGCTGTTGCACATAGGGTCACCATGAGTTGCAGGCACCCTGATGGTACAAAACAACAACGTAATTGGACCAGGAGGCAGTCATCAGAACAGAGAAAGGAAACACTGCATGGTTCAAAACTGGGAAAGGTGCATGCCAGGGATGTGTCCTATCTCCATACCTTTTCAATCTATATGCAGAACAGATTATAAGGGTGGCTGGGCTCTATGAGGAGAAATGTGGCATCAGGCTTAGAGGAAGATGTCATCAACAATCTGCATTATACAGATGATACAACCCTCCTTGCTGAAATTAAGGAGGACCTGAAGTACTTGCTACAGACGGTCAAGGACTGCAGCCTTCAATATGGACTGAAGCTCAACATCAAGAAGACAGAGTCTAACCACTAGGCTGACTGGCATCATCATGACTGATTGTGAAGAGATTAAGATTAATAGCTTTATTTTGCTTAGGTTCAACAATCAACACTCTTGGTACTAACAGCCAGGAAATTAAAATTGCATTGGGAAAGTCTGCTGTCAGAGACCTCTCCAAAGTACTGAAGAGCAACAATGTTAGCCTAGAGACTAAGGTGCACCTAACACAGGTCATGATCTTTGCAATTACTTGCTATGCATCAGAGAGCTGGACAATGACTTGGGATGATAGAAGGAAAGTTGACGCCTTTGAGCTGTGGTGCTGGAGAAGAGCGTTGTATATACCATGGACTGCTAGGAGAACAAACAGGTTCATTCTGAAGAGAGTGAAACCAGGCTGCTTCCTGGAGGCAAGGATTCTAAAGCTTCATCTGATATACTTTGGACATGCTGCAAGGTGGGACCAGTCCTTGGAGAAGGACGTCACACTTGGGAAGGTGGAAGGACAGCACAAAAGAGGAAGACACTGGATGAGATGATTCAGTGACTGGGGTAACAGGGGTAGGTGAGTCAGACACAATAAGATTGGCACAGGATAGAGCAGGGTTTAGGGCTTTTGTACAGAGTGTCACTATGAGTTGCAGGTGACTGACAGCACATAACAACAACAGCAACAATGTAATTCTGTGTGCATTTGAGCTATGGCAACAGATTTTGGACCCAGTAAAGCAGTTAAATTTGGTGTTGGGATGACCTTACAGGAATTGGTTTTGTGTTGATGATGCTGTTGACAGGGATAGTTCCCCTTCGTAGAGCTAGTAAAAGTCAGTCATGGCTGTCACCATGTGTCCCTTGCTCTTTTTTACAATCATCACCACCATGATTCCTTTATGAAACAATTTTCTTCTATTCATTCTGATTATGAGAAAGCCCTAATTCCACCAACAATTTACTCAACCTGGCAAGAGACCCTTATCCCAGACAGTGTTGGGCTTGCAATATAAGCAGAGATTTGTTTGTGCTTGTTGTTGTGTAACACTGAGCCACAACTAACCCATAGGTCATTCTCCGGCGAGTTTTCAAAGGCAGTTAATCACAGAAGAGGGGGAACTGTCCGTCCTTGTCTTACAGAGCAGCTGATGGATTCGAACCACTTGCTTTTGGGATTGCAGCACAGCTTCTTGCCACATTTTGTGCTTACATTCTAATTTATAGTAAGCAATTTCACATTTTTCACCACAAAAAAGATTCCAGATATAGATGACATCTGTCTTTCTCCAAACCCCACAGCACATTTCCACAGAATCAAAGCCTGTTTTCAAACACTTATAATCCCTAACAAGGACAGAGTAACCAGTAACCAAAGTAACCACAGGCTCACTTATGCTTACTTTACTAATCTGTAGTGCACAATCTCACAAAGGTTTCACTGTGTTTACTTGCTCATCATATCCTTAACCAGACTGGAAACATTATGTAAAAATAATAAGACTGAGGATCTTATAAGTTAAGAAGTCCTTAAAAAAACTTTCAAATAATCCTCTTCAAGCTCTAGACTTCAAAAGTAAATGGTGTCAAAAGACCTATATAAGGAAAAGTACAGAACATTTCTGCAAGACACAATAAAAGACCTAAATAAATGGAAAAATGTACCCTGTTCTTGGATAGAAGACTCAATATTGTGAAAATTACAATCCTACCAAAAGCAATCTACATGTTCAATGCAATCCAAATAGAGATGCCAAATTCAGTTTCACGAAGATAGAAAGGGAAACTGTCAAGTTTATTTGGAGAAGAAAGAAACCCTGATAAGAAAAGTAGTCCTGAAAAACAAAAGTAAAGTGGAAAACATGGCACTCCTTGACCTCAAAACCTACATCACAGTGATAGTAACCAAAACAGCATGATACTGGTACAGTAACAGGCATATACCAACAACAAAGAATCAAGAACACAGAAATGGACCCAGCTATCTACATTCAATTGATATTAAAAAGAAAATAAAACCTATCAAATGGGGAAGCAACACCCTCTTCAACAAACAGTACTGGCAAAACTGAACTGCTACCTGAAGAAAGCTGAAACAGGATCCACATCTCACACCATACACAAAAATCAGCTCAGGATGGATCAGAGACCTGGGAGTAAAGCCCAAAACCATAAAGTTCATCAGAGATAAATTGGGATCAAGCTTAGATGGCCTACTCGACAATATAGAGAGACGGCCAAATACAGCCAGAAAAATTGATTAAAGGGACATTCTAAAAATTATGTCCCTGTACACATCAAAAATATTTTTTAACAGAGTGAAGAAGAAACCTACTAACTGGGGAAGAAAAAATTTGGCAATACCATTTCAGACAAGGGTCTTATATCGAAAGTTTCTAGAATCCTACAGGATCTCCACAAGAAAAAAAAAAACAACCAAAACTGACAGCCCAATTAAAAAACTGGCAAAAGACATAGAAAGAATTTTCATATGACCCACAGGATGGCCCACAGGTATATGAAGAAATGCTCAAAATCACTGGCATTAAGAGATACAAATCAAAACCACAATGAGATACTCTATCTCATTCCAGTAGCAGTGGCAAAGTTTAACAGGACAGTAAATAATAAATATTGAAGAGGGTGTGGCAAGATAGGAACTCTTATACATTTTTGGTGGGATTGTAAAATGGTACAGCCACTTTGGAAAGCAGTTTGCCATTTCTTCAGAAAGCAGAACACAGAATTTCCATATGACACAGGTATTCTATTACTTGGAATATACCCCAAGAGAAAGAGAACTGAGGCACAGAGACTTGTACACCAATGTCCATAGTAATGTTACTCATCATCACAAGAACATGGAAACAGTCCAAACGTCCAACTCCAATCAAATGGACTGATAAAATTATGGTACATTCACATGATGGAATACTACACAGCATGCAGGAACAATGGTTTTGTATATCACTACCTATCTTGGGAGGGACCGGAGAGCATTATGCTTTGTGAACTTACTCAGCCCCATAAGGACAAATACTGTATAAGACCATGAATGTAGAATGTGTATAAGAATCCAAGGAGAGGAGGTGACAGCGAGAGGTGGGAAAAGTAAATGGGAAAAGATCTGGTGTGAAAAACAAGGTACATGCACTTTGCAAGTAAACCAGTATAAAAGAAAAAATTTCTTTAAAATATGTTTTTTAAAAAGTGATTGGTGTCTCGAATTATTTATTAGCTTCTCACCCTATAGGTTTAGATTTCAACTTCTTTTCTGCTCATTACATCAGTAATTGTAATATTTAACAGCACCCTACAAAAGGTTTGTTAAGAATTTCATGAAACAACATATGAGCAAGAGCCTATGGTGATGAAAGAAGTTTAGGCT